GCCGCCCTTACCTGAGCGGCCCCGCCGCCCTCACCTTCGCGGCCCCTGCCGCCCTCACCTACGCGGCCCTACCGCCGCTCCACCTGCGGCCCAGCACCAGCCGAGCCGCCTGGCCTCAGCCGCGCCGCCCAGCAGCAGCCGAGCCGCCCAGCAGCAGCCGAGCCGCCCAGCAGCAGCCGAGCCGCCCGGAACCGCCGAGCCGCCCAGCAGCAGCCGAGCCGCCCGGGAGCAGCCGAGCCGCCCAGGAGCAGCCTAGCCGTCCTGCAGCCGTCGAGTCGCCCTGCTACCGGGCCGCCCGACCTGCCCTGTCTGGTGAGCACAGCGCTGCCTTACTACTACTGCCTGCCCTTCCCCACTGCTTGCAGTGCTAGTCTGTCGTCATGGCTACCCCCAGTGTCCTAGCTTTTGACGCTGAGGGCAGAGCCATTGACTTTGAGGTCTGGGTCGACAACCTACAGTTGTTTTTACAGTGCGATAGGGCGGACGGTCTTTCTCTCTTTGACCTCACCTCTGGCGCCTCTCCTGCTCCTGCTGCTGATGCTGACCCCACTCTTCGCTCTCAGTGGGCCACCCGCGATGCTGCTGCACGTCTTGCTGTGCGTCGCCACTTGGGCGACGACCAGGCTACGCAGCGGTCGTCGCAGGGGTACACCTTCAGTCTTGGTTCTGGCTCTGTTTCTTGGCGGGCTACTCGCTCGTCTTCTGTTCTCGGCTCCAGTTGTGAGGCTGAGATCTACGCCGGGGCCATGGCTGCACAGGAGCTTCGCTGGCTCACCTACCTGCTGACTGACCTTGGAGAGCCGCCTCGTTCTCCTCCAGTGCTGTACGTAGACAACAAGGCCATGCTGGCCTTGTGTCGAGAGCAGCGCTTGGAGCACAGAACGAAGCACATTGCTCTCCGCTACTTCCTTGCTCGTGAGCTGCAGCAGCGTGGTCAGTTGCGACTTGCGTACGTGGCCTCTGAGGCCAACACTGCTGATGTTTTCACCAAGGCACTTCCGCCTTGTGATCATCAGCGTTTGTGCACTCAGCTGGGACTTGTACCTGTCCTACCTCACTTGCTCACCTCTTGACCTTGCTTGTACTCTTGCATATATATATATATACCTCCTCTTGCTTGTTTAGCCTTATATATATATTCCTCCTCTTGCATGTGAACTGGTCCTATGGCCTTGACCTTGTGCTCGGACTGTGTGGTGACTTTGTGATCCACCCTGAGCTTGCTTTGCGTTGCTTTGCTTGACTGGTCTTGTGACCCCTTGTTCTCCCCCACTTTGCCTATGGGGGTGTGTCAGATTTATATGACATAGCTGTTGTAGGCTATAGTGGGGTAGCACATATGGGGTACAGGTTTCTAGGGTTGTATTTGTACCCAATCTTTCCTTAGTCATTTCATTCCTGTTCTTTCAACTTCACAATTTGGTTGAAGAGGCACTCCATCTGCTGCGTGTACTATGTTATACTGCCAAACTGTTTATGCCGATGAATCTGCTGCCGCGCCATGTAGCTGGAGTTGATTGGTTCGAAACGTTGAATAAAAGCTTTCCGAAACTGCGTCCATGACCCCTCGCCTCGGATCTTATTTCTGTTGTAAATCCACTCGAGCGCTGGGCCTCGTAACAGTGTCGCTGCGAGCCGAATCTGCATTGCATCGTGTGTCGTGGTCGTACAGCCAACGGCCTCGAAGTAAATTTCGAGAGTCGCAATGAATCGACGAACGTCAGTGTCTCTCGCATTCGGATTGAACGTCTCCGGTAGCCTCGGACGTCTCGCCTCAAGATTCATTGTAGCCGCTGCCGATGCTGCTGGGTTAAGTGTCGGTGTCGCCGCTGCTGCTGCTGACGTCGCTGTTGCATTCGCCGATGCGTTCGCTGCTGCTATGGCGGCTGCCGACTGGTTCGCGAGAAGCTCCTCTATTCGCTGGAGTGTTGCTCGTGTCTAGTCCAGGCCGGTGTGTAACTCCGTAATTTTCCGTACCGAATTATCACCGTTTTCCTCCATTTGGCGATTTATAAGAAGATTTGCGACTAAAATATATGAATTTTAGGCGCTGGTCATCTTACTGTGAGTCAAGCTGAATGCAGAAATTCACGTAATTCCCCCTTAGTTGAAATTCGCGTCTGATCTCGGCTGTTGAGAAGAAATTCAATCCGACGCTCCAAATTCCAACTGTTTTGGGCGAAATTCTCGAGGCCGTTGAGATTCGAATCGATCCGACGGTCGAAATTCCAACTTTTTCGCAACCGGTCCTGAGGAGTGTTCGAGAACCGGTTCAAGGGGGACGTTAGAAAATAGCGCGGAACTGGTTTACGCACCCAAAATCGGCGCTTTCCGTCGTCACCCCCGCGGTTTTAAAAGCTAGGTTGAAGCGGTCGAAAAACTTCGCTTGCAAACAGGCTCTGATTTTCAAGTGTGAGGTTCTAGGATCGAGGTCAGAAAACAGAATGTGAATTGAATTGAATTGAATGAACACATGGATACAACACGAGGCTCTATATAGGCTCGACACAAGGCCCCGTAACTAGGTGTTACGCGAAGGTTCCGCGGGTCGCGAAGCGTCCCGAACAGATCCTTCCCCAATTCGGTAGAAGGCAATTCAGTGGCAACTGAAAAGCCAGAATTCGGTGCACCCAACCTAGCTTGGTGCTATAACTATAATAAAATTTAGGAAAGCACCTAGCCTAGGAAATCAAGTAATTCATGCATGCATATAATTATCCTATGCTAGAAATAGCATAATAAAGCGAAGGCAAGCAATCATAGTTGGCATAAGCCGTCGTACTCTCACAGAAGCGGCCGCCAGGTTCTCCACCTGTCTTCAAGGCTCGTTACGTTGCTCGAGGCTTCACTCAGCGGGAGGGAGTTGACTTCTTCCAGACCTTCTCCCCCACCCCGAAGATGACCACTCTTCATATGCTACTTCTCGTTGCCGCCCAACGTGACTACGAGCTTCGCTCTCTGGACTTCAGTACAGCCTTCTTACAGGGCAGCCTGCACGAGGAGATCCGGCTGTGCCGCCCACGTGGCTTCACTAGGTCGTTCCCTCCTGATACTGAGTGGAGCCTCCGGCGGCCAATATACGGTCTCCGCCAGGCGCTGCGTGAGTGGCACGACACACTGAGGACGACACTTGCGGCTCTTGGGTTTGCCCCGTCGATTGCTGACACGTCGCTGTTTCTGCGCACTGACACTTCGCTGCCGCTATTCTACATCCTTGTGTACGTGCACTGCTGACACTAAGGCTCTCGCCTTGGTGAAGTCGGAGCTGGAGAAGAGACACACGTGCACAGACCAGGGTGAGTTGTGCAGCTACCTTGGCTTGCATATCACCCGGGACAGAGCACGCCACATCATCACACTGACTCAGTCACACATGGTGTAGTAGGTCCTTCAGCGCTTTGGCTTCACGTGATCCTCACCAGAGGCCACTCCTCTGGCTACAGGTGACCCGCTCTCAGCTCCACCTTCGGACGAGTCCGTAGAGCCGAGTGGTCCTTACCCAGAGCTAGTGGGCTGCCTCATGTACCTGATGACCTGCACTCGTCTTGACCTTGCGTACCCTCTTAGCCTTCTGGCTCGCTACGTGGCTCCTGGTCGGCACCGAAAGATGCACATGGATGCTGCTAAGAGGGTACTATGCTACTTGTGTTGTGCATCGGGCATGGGGCTCGTGCTTGGAGGACGGGGCGACGTTGTCCTCACTGGTCACTGAGACGCTTCTTGGGTTGACGACCTAGCTACGCAGCGGTCATCACAGGGTTACACTTTTCGCCTTGGCTCTGACTCTGTTTCTTGGCGGTCTACACGCTCTTTCTCTGTTCTCAGCTCCAATTGCGAGGCTGAGATCTACGCCACAGCCATGGCTGCAGAGGAGTTACGCTGGCTTACGTACTTGCTGACCGTCTTGGAAGAGCGGCCTCGTTCTCCTCTAGTGCTGTACGTAGACAACAAGGCCGCCATTGCCTTGTGTTAGGAGCACATAGTTGAGCACAGAACGAAGCACATCGCTCTGCATTACTTCCTTGATCGAGAGTTGCAGCAGCGTGAACAGCTTCGTCTTGCTCACTTGGCCACTCAGGCCAACAGTTCTGATATATTCACCAAGACACTTCCGTCTGGTCATCATCAGCGTTTTTTTACTTTGTTGGGCCTTGTGCCTATATTTCCTCACTTGCTGTAGGCTTTGCTTGTACTGTAATATATATATATATACATATATATATATATACATACCTGCATGCGCTCTTGCTAGGTCGAGATCACTGTGCTGTTGGTTGTTGCATACATATACCTCTGCATGTAGACTCGCCTTGTGGCCGTTTGGTTGTGCTAAGTGTGTGTGGTGACGTTGTGATCCACCCTAAGCTTGCTTTGCCTCTTTTGACTGGTCTTGTGACCCCTTGCTCTCCCCCATTTTGCCTATGGGGGTGTGTCAAACTATATATGTAATGTTAGGGTGTAGGCTGTAGTGGGGTAGCCCATATGGGGTACAACACAATGTTAGGGTTTGTATTTGTACCCAAACTTTCAATAGTCAATCATTCCTGCCTGTAGTTTCTAACACAACTGCCACCAACCACATTAACCTCCATGCGCCCATGACGCCCACAACCATCCGCTCATGACGCCACTGCCATCCATCTGTCAGCCCACTGCCATCTATCTGTCAGCCCACTGCCATCTATCTGTCAGCCCACTGCCATCCATCTGTAAGCCTGCTGCCACGGCCCTTGGCATATCTGCAACGCTACCTCCATCAGCCCGGCTAAAGTCTGGCAACCCTTCGCACGAAGCTCGAATTCATGTACAATGTTCTGAGCTTGAGTCTTATTTGGCTCTATCCAGGTGCATTGCATTGCACCACAAGTCATTGCACCGCCACGACATGCAGCGCAAGATCCCTGGCATGTTGCTCAGGAGATTCTCACAATGGAAAATCATATGGCATTATTCTTATATAATGAACCAGGACAATATTAGAGTTTAAAAGTATACACCTATTACAAGTAATCAGGATAAACAAAAGAGGCGGTGATGTTACCGCGCAGCCTCACGCCGTTCACTTTGATGGTGGAGTAGAAGTAGTAGGGGGCGAAGAAGAACCCTGCATTAACCAGCGCAAACACCCTGCTCACCGGCCTGAACGGCACTGTGAGGTTGGCGACAGTACTGGACGTGCAGCGGTATGTCCCCAGCGTGCTGGTGGGCTTGGGCGTGCACCCAAACTCTGCCACGATCTCCCCTGCGTCGGTGCGGTAGGAGGACTTGGAGAAGACCGGCGCTGGGCTGCTCGGCACGCCCATCACGGTGAAGCTGTAGAACGCCTTTTGCTGCGCTGATGTGCTGTGGTGTTAGAGAGCGGTGAAAAGCAGGGGAGTGAGAGAGCGGTGAGAAGCAGGGGTGAGGGAGGGCGGTGAGAAGCAGGGGTGAGGGAGGGCGATGAGAAGCAGGGGTATGTGTGTGTGTGAGAGAGAGAGAGAGAGAGAGAGAGAGAGAGAGAGGGGGGGGGGGGGGGGGAGGGAGAGAGAGAGGGAGGGAGAGAGAGGGAGGGAGGGAGAGAGAAAGAGCACTTTTTTTCCGAGGCGAGAGTTGTTTAGGAACTGGAATGAGCAACATCTGTGCAGAGGTTGTGACCGTGCTGTAATAAGGACGAGATATGCTGACTTTCACTCACATGTTAACATCCACGTTGAATTTGGCGCTCATGTTGGTCATTGATGTGAGCACTGAGGCAGCTCGGACTGCAGCGGGGGGAAAAGGTCACATGCAGCAGGCCAAAGAGGACACGGATGAGCGATTTTAAAAGGCAGAAGGAACATTGAAAGCAGGCAGCGAATGGTCTGCAGTAGGAGACACGAGGTGGTTGGGATTGATGCATGTGCATGTGCGTGTGGAGGAGGATGTGCGTATGGATGTGCATGTGCATGTGCGTGTGGAGGAGGATGTGCGTATGGATGTGCATGTGCATGTGGATGTGCAGGCGGATGTGCATGTGGATGTGCATGTGGATGTGCATGTGGATGTGCGTATGGATGTGCATGTGGATGTGCATGTGCATGTGGATGTGCATGTGGATGTGCGTATGGATGTGCATGTGCATGTGGATGTGCGTATGGATGTGCATGTGCATGTGGATGTGCATGTGGATGACTCACATCTGGTGGGTTCATTAATGACTACACAAGCTACGCTGCAGTTGTCCAACCATCCGCTGCTGCTCCTAGAGCTGCTCCCGCTGGTGCTCTCAGTGCCGCTCGCAGAGGTGCTGCCCCCAGTGCTGCCAGCGCTTACGGTGCTCCCACCACTGATGGAGCTTCCGGTGCCCCCACCACTGATGGAGCTTCCGGTGCCCCCACCACTGATGGAGCTTCCGGTGCCCCCACCACTGATGGAGCTTCCGGTGCCCCCACCACTGATGGAGCTTCCGGTGCCCCCACCACTGATGGAGCTTCCGGTGCCCCCACCACTGATGGAGCTCCCGGTGCTCCCCCCGCTGCTGCTGCTGGTGCTCTCGGAGACGGTGCTTACATATCCGATAATGAGATTCTCGTTAGGGTCCGTGCTGCCGCTGCTGCCCGTGGTGGTGACCGTTTGGGTCAGGAGGCCGTCGCTCGCATCCAGCAGCTCTCGCCGCACGGCGCCGCCCGCTGCGCAGCAGAGGGAGAGCGAGTGAAGCACTGCCAACGCGAGGGGTGTGCGGGAATCAGTGCAGCGAAGCGTGGGGGAACAGCGAAGCGTGGGGGAACAGCGAAGCATGGGGGAAACAGCAGCGAAGAATGGGGGAAATAGCGAAGCGAAGCATGGGGGAAATAGCGAAGCGAAGCATGGGGGAAATAGTGTAGCGAAGCATGGGGGGAACTGTGTAGCGAAGCATGGGGGAAACAGTGTTCGAAGCATGGGGAGTGCAGCGAAGCATAGGCCAAAGAAGCACCCGCGGTCTGGAAAGTTGCGGCTTGGAAAGAGAGGTGCGGTTTTGTGCGGAGAGGTGGAGAGGCAACGGGTGATCATTTCTTTTGGAAAAGTGCGGAGGCGATGTGGGAAGGCCCGCGAGTGGGGCTATAGAGATGGATGATAAATTAAAATCCATATATGGATGATGGACTCCCGCCGCGCGACACTCCGACTCGTGCGCGACTCGGCGACATTTCAGGGCCTCTGACGGCGGAAACGAAGACGCAGACGGACGTAGCGACACGACAGGGCGACGAGGCGACATGCGACGAGGCGACATGCAACAGGTATGTCACATACGTGACTCAGAGGGGTGCCTTGTGTAAACGTGAATGTTACAAAGTCGATACCCTTTCCACGTGACATTGCCCATGTTGCTTGATCATTAAGACGGGAAAGCTTCCCACATGCTTCTTTGGTTTCCGCGACGTATGTCACTATTCGAAGATGATGCTGAACAACGAGGCGACATGACAGGCGACGAGGGGACACGGCGTCTTGTGACGGCGATACGGCACGGCAACGAGGCGACACGGTGGGCTCACCAGCGATGGCGACGGCGAGGCGCTTAACGTCGAGCGAAGGCGCGCGAGAGAGTGACGTCATCCGGGCCATGGCTGGATGGAATCGCGGAAAGCTGGAGGTTGCAAGTCAAACTTGAGGCGATCTCGGGGAAGCGTGAAATGGAGCGCGGGAAGTGGATGATGGATGAGTAACTAAAGCAAAGAGGCTGAGTCTGCGAACAGGGATAGGCGTCTGATGCTCTGATAGGGAATGGAGGCGCAGGAGCGTTGTACTTCTCCATACGAGTCCCGTCGCTTTCACTGCGAATTTCTTGGATGATTTCAACGAGCGCAGCTGTTGCCTGCCACTGTGTGGAAGGCACACGACGGAACAAGATTCAGCAGATTCAGCTGCGCTGAGCCTGTATGCTCCGTTAGCGACGGCGAAGTGTTTGGCTGTGCCTGCCTGCGAGCCGCATCCGAAACCTGCAACTGTTGCACCTGGCGCCTTGATGCAGGTGCCGTGAGTTGCGCTGTTGTCACGGAGGTAACCAGCGCGCCACAGAGAGAACTCGGCGGGGTGGGATCTGAAGGGGTGTATCCTCGTGCCAGATCATGTCAACAACCAAGTACACTTTGGCTCATCCAGAGGCCAGTCATAAAGCATTTTAAGAAAAAGTATTCTCCTTACCGATAGAATAAAAAATAGAACGAGAAAACAAGTATTGAACTAGGGGGTCAAGAGATAACTGTCAGCGTACAAAGACACATAATATATGAAATTTGTCCCCGTTAATGCTCCTTTTTTAGAAACAAGAAGCTCTCTCGTTTACCTCTCGTATGACTTGTAACGATATTTCCTCGCCTTCCTGAAGCAGACCATGCCTCCCCCCTTCACGCACGTGATAAAACTCTCGTCACGTTGACACACCCGTTAACTTAATCATTTGTAGTCCTGCGTGGCCGCCTCGCAACCATGGCGCGTCGAAAACAGGTTAACCCTTCTCGCAGTCGAGCATCGCGCGCCGCTTGCACACCATCCGAAGTCGTTGAAGTTCCACCGTTAGATTTGGCAGTCTCCCACGTGCCTCCGGCACCTCTTTCCTCACCCACGCTTGTCGCTCCGCAAATTGAAGGCAGACAGCGCAGACCTGACGGCGACGGTAGCGGCGGCAGCCAGCTAGCCGGCCAATCCGATGCCTGGCGTATAATATGGGTCAAGCTAGGGGATCCTGAAGGTGCTGATGTGGCAATACTGGGACCATTCTCACCGTCGCAGCATCCGAATTGCACTCCCCTCCACGTTCTCAACCAGCAAAGCCGCAGCGGTTGCGCTTCCGCTGCTTCTAGCGGCGCCACACCTACCGTGACGCCCGGTAGTGTCATACTCGATAGCGACATACCCGATAGCGAAATACTCGATAGTGGCGATCCGCTGGGTCGTCTAGCCGTGCTTCCTGCGTTCTTAGAGCGGCACGGAGGAGCGCGCGGGGAAGAGGGCGGCGTGGGCGCGGGCGAGGGGCGGGCGGGGCTGCATGCGTGCCTGAGCGTGCGCGAGGGCCGTCGCACGGGTGGCGAGCCGTGTGGGCGCGCGCAGGTGCTGCGGGTGCGCGCGGAGGACGTGGTGCTTCACGTGGTGCGCGCAGAGGAGGGCACAGGGGAGCGCGCAGGGGGAAGGGAGGGGGAAAGGGATGGAGAGGCGGAAAAAGGGAGGGGAGGGGAAGGGGTTGGGGGTGAGGATAGGGAGAAGTGCGAGGTGTGGGAGGAGGAGGAGAAAGGGGAGAGGGAACGAGGGGAGGCGGAGGGAAGGGAGGGGGAGAGAGGGCGGAGGGCGGAGATAGTAGTGTCTGTGAGGGCGAGTGAAGTGAGGCAGCTGCAGCACCCACGTGCCTTGCACGCGCTGCTGTACCTCGCAGAGAGGCACCTCGTTACTGTCACACCCTACCTCGCTGCTACAGGTCACAGCAATACAGCAGCGGAAGCAGGTGCGGCAGAAGCACGCCCAGCAGCGGAAGCAGGTGCAGGGCCATGTGAATCACATGTGTGTCTGTGTGGGTGCGTGTGGGTGGCGGTAGGCATCCCCTGCAGCCTAGCCCCCACTCTACCCCTACCGGATGTGCGCGCCCCTCTGCTCTCCCCGCTGCTCAACTCTGTGCGCCGCCCCTCCCATTCGCCCCACATGCGCGCCCTCATGGCCCGCCTCGCCCCCATCGCCCTGCCCCACGCGCCCATGCCCCCGTGTGTACACACACATGCACATGCGCATGCACACAAACATGTACACATACATGGACATACACATACACATCCACGCACACATGCAAGTTCTGAGGTGTCTCAAGGTACGCATGTGGAAGAGCATGGGGGTGAGGTGGAGGATGCGTGTGGAAGCACGAGCTGGAATGCTCGCACCCCCCCGCCTTGCGCCTGCCAGCCTGGACATGATGCTCATGACGTGGCTACTGCTGACGTGGCTACTGCTGAAGTGGCTAATACTGACGTGGCTGTTGATCTAGGTGGAGAAGATGGGGTCAAGGAGAAGAGCGAACGGGAGAAAGGGAAGGGGAAGAGTGACGAGGGAAGCAACACAGGCGTGACAGTGGATGGTGGCAGGGGAGGTGGCGGCGATGCCTCTGGCTGTGCCTCTGCTTCTGCGGCTGCTAGTGGCGATGAGGCTGGTGCAGCGGAGGCGCAAGGGGGAGTGCATGGCAGCGTATATGGCAGGGGGTATGGCAGGGTGCTTGTGGGCAGCTGCTTTGACCTTGCTCAGCTGTACGCTGCTGTGCATCCCAGCAGGTGCGTGCCGTGCCGGCACCCTTTCCGCCCATGCAGTGCACTTCCCCTGTCTCCACCGCAAGTGCCTTCACTGACCCTCTCGCTTGTTGCAACTCTTCTCCTTCGTTGATTTTCCAGGAACCTTCCACCACTTGCCACGTGTCCTGCCGGCCTGCTGCCTTCGCTGAGGCTGTACCAGAGCCGGGCCGTGGCGTGGATGGTGCAGCGCGAGCAGGGCGCTCAGGGGGGATGTGGGGAAGGCAAGACAGGGAGACATGTGGGCGGTGGGGAGGGGGATGCGGTGCTAGGGGAGCAGCATGGAGGGTGGAGCCATGCGGAGCAGCAGCAGCAGCAGCAGCAGCAGCAGCAGCAGCAGCAGCAGCAGCAGCAGCAGCAGGGGTGGGGAGTGGCGGAGCAGCACCCGTTGTGGCGGCGGGTGACAGCAGGCAGCGCCACTGACCCCTTGTCGCAGCCGACTCACACCAGCACCGCCCCTGGCGCCACTCTCCTCTACAACCCCTTCCTGTGCGTGCGTGTGTGACAGCCAGCTCACGTGCTTGCCTGCTCGCCTCCCCGCTCCTTCTCACCCGCTTGGCCCATGAGCGCAAGCCCAACACTCTAGTGCCTTGCATGCGTACTATCAGTCACTAGCCACCTTGAGCCACACCCCTGGCCCGTGTGGAGCACAGTCAGCCAGGAAGATCGACAATTTCACTTCTTCTCCATCTTTTTGCCTCAAACACTGTCTCAGCTCCTTGTACTAGCTGCCAAGCTTCGATCCCATCCCCATCCCCATCCTCATCCCCATCCCCATCCCCATCCTCATCCCCATCCCCATCCCCATCCCCATCCCCATCCTCATCCTCATCCGCATCCCCATCTACACCCCCATCCGCATTTCCATCCTCATCCCCATCCCCAATCCCATCCCCAATCCCATCCCCATCCCCATCCCCATCCCCATCCCCATCCCCATCCCCATCCCCATTGCTCCTCTGCATGTCCCCTTGCCAGAGGCACATTCGTCCGTCTTCCCCCCTCCGCCTCATGTGCAAGGGCTGGGAGGCAGCCGCAGGGGGAAGAGGCAGTGGGGCATGGGGGGAAGAGGGAAAGCGGGGAGATGCAGCGAAGTGGCTCCTCATTGGGTCCAGGTTCGGTGAGTACAGACTCGGCAGATTTAGCGCCGACCTGTCCAGACATGGTGAACGATGCAGGCCCAACAAGTCCAGGTTTGGCACGTGCAGGTACGGTGAGTCGAGGTACGGAGAGATCGGGTACCAGCCCAGGTAATATAAGCCCAGGCTCGGTGAGTCTTGGTTCGGTGGGCCCAAGTTCGGTGAGTCCAGGTTTGGTGAGTCCAGGTCTGGTGAGCCAAGGTCTGGCGAGTGCAGGTTGGGGGAGTGGTGTGTGCGGGTGGGTGGGTGAAGTGGCGGGGGCAGTGAGAGGCGGCATTGTGGCGGAGGAGATGGGGCTGGGGAAGACCGTTGAGGTGCTTGCTTGCATCCTCGCCCACCGCTGGAGGGGCGGTGGGGGTGAGGGAGAGGGGGAGGAGGCGGAGGAAATTGTGTTGCAGGGAGAGCAGGTGACAAGAGGAAAGCGTAGGAGGGGGGAGGTAGAGGATGAGGGGGTAATGGGGAAGAGGAGGGGAGTGCTGAGAGGTGAGGAGCGGTCGGTGGAGAGGAGAGGAGATTGGGCATGTGGGGAGAAAGCGGAGGGGGTTGATAGTGAGGAGAGGAGAGGGAGCAGCAGGAGGCGCAGAGGCAGCAGTGGGGGTAGCAGCAGCGGCATCAGTTGCTGCAGTGCAGGGAGTGGGGCAGAGGCATCGGCAGCACACGGGGCGAGGAGAGGGGCAGAGGCGAGCGCGAGAGGGACCAGTCCCCTTCCACTCCTCTCACCACGTCCCCTGCCTCTCCTCCCGTTGCCTCCTCCGATTCTCCTCTCACTGCATCGTCTGCCACAGCTGGAAGGGTGGGAGAGTGTGGTGGTCGAGAGGGGATGGCAGGAGATGGCAGGTGGAGTGGCGGAGGAGAGGATGGGGATGGCAAGAGGCGGGTGGATGGAGAGAGCAGTGAGGGAAAGGGCGGCGCGGGCAGCAAAGGGAAATGCGGGGATGGCAGCAGATGGAGGGATGGAGAGAGATTGTGTGCAGGAGGCAGGCAAGCAGCGCAAGGGAGTGGAGGAGGGCAGGTGGGCGTTGCATCAGGCGATGGAGAAACGGGGCCACAGGAAGGAGGGCTGGGTGGCAGAGGTGGGGAAGAGAGAGGAGGGGTGGGTGGCGTGAGGGGGAGTCGGAGGCGGTGAGGGAGGAGGTGCCTGCAGTGACTCTTGATGACCTGGCAGCTGCTGACATTGTGCTGACGTCATATGACACGCTGCGTGGCGATATCTGGCACGATGTGGGTGGGCAGGGACACGTGGCAACACGGCAGCTGAGATATGAGAAGAGGTGCGTGGCAGGGGTGTGTGTGATGCTGGGTGCGAGTGTAAAGGGGAACAGTTAGTGGGGTGTGTGGCTGTGTGAGGGGTGGGGACGTGAGGGTGACTGAGAGCGCATGTGTGCATTGTAGGAACGGGGTGGCTGGAAGCTGAAGAGGAGAGGGGGTGAGCGAGCACCTCTTTCCACGCCTTCCCACACCTCATGCCACTGATACAGCTGCGGTGGTGGCGGGTGTGTGTGGACGCAGCGCAGCAGGTGAATGGGGGAGCCTCCAACGCCGCCAGAATGGGGGCCTGCCTGCCCGCCCTCCCTCACCTGCTTGCTGTCCCACCCCTTCCTCTAGGTACCAAATCCGCCCCACACCACTAACGCGTCTGCAGTGGTGGAGGGTGTGTCTGGACGAGGCGCAGCTGGTGGAGGGGGGGGCGTCCAACGCGGCCCTCATGGCGGCCCGCCTGCCAGCGCGCCTCCGCTGGTGCGTCTCCGGCACGCCGCTGCACCGCGGCCTCCCTGACCTCCTCGGCCTGCTCCGGTTCCTCCGAGCCTCGCCGTTTGACGGGCCTCACTGGTGGCGGCATTTTTTCCAGCTGCCTATCCAGGTGAGCCCGTCAGCTGCGGAGGTGATGGTTTGTGGAATGGGTGGGTGTGGGGGTGAATGGTGGTGGGGGCGAACAGAAGCGTTTGAACAGGGATGGTGATGGGCGTTTGAGCAGTCCGATTCGAACAGAAGCCTGTTGCGGCGAGGCGAGGAGGAGGGGTGGAGGGGAGCAGTGGGTGCATTGGATGGCTGCACTGAATGAGTGAGGACCTTGTGTTGGCAGCTGTTGTTATATCATCAAAAGGGGGGAGGGGAATGAATGGTGCTGGGGTGCGTCATTGTGACAGTTAGAACTTCCTTTGCGCGCTTGTGGGTGAGTGAAATTACGAGGAGAGAGAGAGGGAGGGAGGGAGGGAGGGAGAGAGGGAGGGCGGGAGGGAGGGTGATACGTGGTGACTGGCACAAACAGAATGGAGTGTGTGCGAAACACAACATCCGACTGACTTAACGTGATGCCAAGTTCAACTGTGATGCCAAGTTCAACTGTGATGCCAAGTTCAACTGTGATGCCAAGTTCAACTGTGATGCCAAGTTCAACTGTGCTGCCAAGTTCAACTGTGATGCCAAGTTCAACTGTGATGCCAAGTTCAACTGTGCCTTGTGCTCTGCCCCACTGGTTCGTTCGCCCTTGCCCTCTCTCGTCTCGACTCCTCCCTCTTTAACTCCCCCCCTCATATCTCTCCAACGCCTCCCCCCCTCCGCCGCCTCCCCCTCTTTGGCAATGCCACGTCAGAATGGATGCTTGGCAGCATGGCACGCGCTCCTGGCCCTCATGTCGAGGCTGATGTGGCGCCATCACAGGGCCGACGTGGCAGACGAGCTGGCGCTGCCACCTCAGCGGCAGCTGCTGACAGTGCTGCGGTTCAGCGCCATAGAGGCGCACTTCTACCGCCAGCAGCACGCCAAGTGCGCCCAGCGTGCCACCAGCATGCTGCGCTCCGTGACACGCGGGGGCCGGAGAGGGGGAGGGAGGAGAAGCGGAGGAGGAGTTGGAGACGGAGTGGGATTAGATGGGAGAGGTGATGGGGATGGGGATGCAGAGGCGGAGGGGGAGCAGCAATGGCAGGGAGGGGGCAGAGAGTGGCAGCAGCAGCAGGAGCAGCTGGTGCTGGGGGCACGGTCATTAGCGGGTGCATGTCGGGGCGACATGGAGCGGTTCCTGGCGTCGCTGCTGCTGCTGCGCCACGCCTGCTGCCACCCTCAGATCGGCTCGGGTGGGCTCAGACCGCTGGGATCACAGGGCCGCCCCATGCACATGGGCGAGGTGCTGCAGGTGAGATGCGTGGTGCAGGTGAGATGCGTGGTGCAGGTGAGATGCGTGGTGCAGGTGAGATGCGTGGTGCAGGTGAGATGCGTGGTGCAGGTGAGATGCGTGATGCAGGTGGGAGCAAGGGGGTGTGGGAGAGAGGAGAGGGGGGAATCAGTCCTATATGTCTGTTGCATACGGTGGGAGGTAAGGTACATTTCACCTGCTCAGCTCCATCGTGTGTTTCCCCAGTGTGCCTGGCCCCCCCAGCTTTGTCAAGCCTTCTAACTTGCATAAGATCGTTCCCCCAAGCTGAGTACCCACCTGTCTTTTAATGCTGGCCTTTTCTGCTGAACGACTCGGCATGGCATGGCATGGCATGGCATGGCATGATCACGCCCATGCACCAGGTGCTGTTGGAGAAGGCGCGGGTGGAGGCGGAGGAAGCCCAGCGTCTCCTCATCTCCGCCCTCAACGGCCTCGCTGCCCTCGCCGCCATCCACGCCCCCGCCCTCCCCCTCCACCTCTCCTCACGCCCCACCCCTTCCTCCTCCTCTCACTCTCCCCTCCTCATTGACAAGAGTGTTGAGCAGTGGCGCGCGGGGGCGGTGCAGGCGGTGGGCATTTACCGTGACGTACTGCGCCTCATGGATGGCCATGGGCCCGCCCATGTTGAGACAGCGAGGGGATGGGATGGGGATGGAGATGGGGATGGGGATGGGGATGGGGACGGAGATGGGGTTGGGGATGGGGATGGGGATGGGGATGGGGTTGGGGATGGGGATGGGGATGGGGATGGGGATGGGGATGGGGATGGGGATGGGGATGGGGATGGGGTTGGGGATGGGGTTGGGGATGGGGATGGGGATGGGGATGGGGTTGGGGATGGGGATGGGGATGGGGATGGGGATGGGGATGGGGATGGGGATGGGGATGGGGATGGGGATGGGGTTGGGGATGGGGATGGGGATGGGGATGGGGATGGGGATGGGGTTGGGGATGGGGATGGGGATGGGGATGGGGATGGGGATGGGGATGGGGAGGAAGGCAGAGAGAAGGGGTTGTGTGTGGGTGGCCCCCTCCCACAAGGCGGTGTGCTGCGCACAGACCCCCTGCAGCGCCTGCACGTGCTGCACAACCTGCATGACCTGCTCGCCCTGTTGCACGCCACCAGGGATGGAGAAGGGACGGGAGAGGGTGGGCAGGGGTGCAGTGCGGTGGGGCCTGGTCGTGATGGAGCAGGGTTGGGTGTGGCGCGGACACTGAGGGACGAGCGGCTGGAGGCGGAGAGCAGCGAGGTGAAGGAACGCTACCTGGCGCCCGTGAGGGCCCGTGCTGCTGCTGCTCACAGGGCCTTCGAGGAGACACACTCTCAGGTGGGTTGGATTGGGTGTGGTGCGAACACTCACTCAGAGATGCGTGGCTAGAGGCGGAGAGCGGTGAGGTGAAGGATACCTGGCGCCCGTGGGGGACCACACGCTGCTGCTGCTCTCAGGGCCTTGGAGGACGTGCAGCCTCAGGCGAGTGAGGGGGTGGGAATGGAGAAGCAGATGAGAGAAGCACATGAGAACATGATGAGGACTCTTCTCTGGATGATCACGATTTTGTCATCGCCATAGCAGCTCCTGTTGCTACCTGGACCGTCCTGGCACGCTTGCGAATGGTCAATGCTTTTTTCTGTCTTCCCTTCACCTACACCTTCCACATCCGTGGTAATGCAACTCTTGTTATTCCCGTCCCACACATCGATATCGCCTGCACACCCACATGCAGTGCCCCACCACCCACACACACGGGCATGTTGTTGTTGCCTGCTAACCCCCCCCAACACACCCCCCTCTTCCGCTCCCACTTCCCCATCCACCCACATCCACATAGGCAGGTGGAGGCCCATCTGGCAGCGGCACGTCTCTCCACCGCCACCACCCCTTGGTGGCTCACGCTCCTCACCGCACTGCACTCCTCTGCACCGCCCGGCATGGCGGAGAGCGTCACGGCACGCTTGCACCGTGCACTACTGGATGACGACCACCGCCCGGCCCACACCCACAACATGGCCAGCCTTGGGCTCAGGTGCGCCTCCCCTGGCTTGATTACAGGCTACACAGGGGAAAACACCCTAAGCCTGAGAACCTTGTGTCAGAAAAAAAGATGAAGAGTTTGATTAAGAAAGAAGGCGATCGGACTTGGGTTGGGTTGAGGAAGGGAAGGGAAGGGAAGGGAAAGAATCGGGTAAGAATCCGACCAGATTTGCAATGATGAGTTGGCAGATTGGCTCGATCACAAGGGGAATTCCAACCGGAGAAGATTGGGATAACCAATCTATTGATATGAAAGGGAGTAGACAAAAAGGTTGACAGCCTTATTTTTTTTCCCTGGTCCCACTCCTACCACATCACCCTCCCCCAATACTACCCCCCTCGTGGCAGGTTCCGCACGCTGCACGGGGTGCGGCTGGTGCTGGCAGGAGAGGTGGACTCGCTGCTGGCGGGCAGGCACAAGGTGCTGCAGCGCGTGCTGCAGGCGGGGGGCCAGGTGGCGGCGCAGGGCGTGCAGGGCAGCCTCGTCGCACAGGCAGGCTCGTGTGCTCGCTGCTGTGCCGGGCAGGAGGGGGAGGAGGGGGCGGACGCCAGGGGGGCTGGGGGGTTGCTGGCTGGGGTGGGTGGTGAGAGGGGGATGGAAGTGGGTCGGGGGGATGAGTGCTGCATGCACTGCAAGACACAGGAGCTCTTCGAGGTGAGATGGTCCTATGAATTGGTCAGAGTGATGTTTAATTTCATCCCTTTCCACTGGGTAAACTCATGCAATGCAGCATAGTGTGCTGTGCTGCAGGGTGTAAGTGTGATGACTACCTTGGTATGTCCACTTCGTCAATCTCCGATTCCTTGTTCTTGCCTACCAACTCCCTTCCCGCACCCCCTGCCAGAGCTATCAGCGGCGCCTCTTCCACCTGCGCCTCTCCTCCGCCCCCTCCTCCCTCCCCGCCTCGTCCCCCTCTGACCACCCTCACTCTCCCCATCCCTCCGCCTCGCCCCACGACCTCCTGCACGTGCTCCAATCCACTCTCGGCGTGCGCGGCACCCCACTCATCGCAGCGGCATCAGCAGGGGGAGTAGCACCAGTAGGGGGGCAGGGTGGGAGGGGGAGGGGCAGCAGGGGTGAGGCAGGGGGCGGGGCGAGTGGGGCAGAGGGGAAGGGGGGGACGGTGGTGTGGAACCCCTCTGACACCGAGAGGTGCCTCGCTGTGCTGGCGTCTGTGCTGCAGTCATTGCCACGTGGCATCATCCCAGAGGACGAGCAAGCCAGCCTGGCAGCTGCGGCGTCCAGCTCTTTGGAGGCTCTGGAGGTGAGGCGAGATGCGATGCACCGGCGTGGCTCTTGAGGCGAGAGGGGCTGCACACCGTGATGTCTTCTCCCAATCTGCCATGCTATCTGGATTCCATCTGCCATGGCAAGCATTTTCTTGATTGTCATGGCACGCTGCATGAGTGGACCTTCCTTTGACTGACCTTTCACTCTCATCCATTCTCCAAACCTTTTCACTCACAGTCGCCCTTCCATGCTCCTGTGCCCCTGTAGTCCTGTGCCTTGTGCAGCCGCCTTCCCTCCGCTGCTGCTCCCTCCCTGCACACCAGGCGATGCGTAAGGAGTTCCTGGTGGTCCGAGCATGGTCGGAGGCGACTTTTGAGTCGACTCAAATGTCATCTTTCCTCTGCTGCTGCTCCCCTCTCCACACACCAGGCCATGCGGAGGGAGTTCCTGGTGGCGCGAGCGTGGTCGGAGGCGCAGAGGGGAGTGCTGCGAGCGCTGGACGAGCTGCACATGGCCGTCACGCGAATCACGCTGCGCCACGTGGAGGAGCCACCACCTGCCACGTCAGCAGCAGCGGCACGCATGGCGCGTGTGAGCGAGGAGGAGGCAGCAGCGCTGAGCGTGGTGCTGACGCATGACAGGCTGGCAGTCGATGCTCAGCTGCAGGCCAGCCGCGCCCAGCTGAGGTACCTGCGCGGGCTGGCTTCTGCTCGCCGGCGCGCGGTGCAAGGCGGGGGAGGCGTGGAGACGGAGATGGGTGGGGCGGAGAGGGATGGGAGAGGGAGTGGGAAGGGTGAGAGTGGGGAGAGCGTTGAAGGAGAGCAGGAGGAGGGGGAGGAGGAGAGCTGCCCGGTGTGCAGGGAAGCGTTGGGCAGTGAGCTGTCGGTGCTGCCATGCGGCCATCTGCTGTGCTGCAAGTGTGAGTGCTCTCCATCCGTTTCATCCCTCAGTGTGTCATCTCACTGTGCCATCTTTCATCGCGTCGTTCACTGTGTCATCTCTCATTGCGTCGTTTCACTGTGTCACTTCTCACCGTTTCATGTCAATGTGTGAGCTCTCACCGTGTCATCTCTTTTCATCTCACCTCACCCTTCCATCCGACCAAGCTCAGCACTTCTACCATGCCATGTCAGAATTGCTTCCGACCGTTTCAGCATGCCTTCTCACCATGTCATCACACCCACCCATGCCATCCACCCTTGTCATCCACCCATGTCATCCACCCATGCCATCCACCCATGCCATCCACCCATGTCATCCACCCATGTCATCCACCCATGCCATCCACCCATGCCATCCACCCATGCCATCCACCCATGTCATCCCACCATGTCATCTCTGCAAGTACATGTCTACTGGTAGAGAGGTCCCCTCAAGCCACCACCACCGCCTGCAGCACCATCAGGGAGCGGCGCATGCGATGCCCCACATGCCGCCACGTGGCAAGGGCATCGGAGATTGCCTACGTGGACAACCGCAGGGATCACCATGGATACCCTGCTGGCGCCCTGCAGGCGAATCAGGAGTCAGATGCGGTTGGAAGCGGTGAACAACGAAATTCTCCATGCCATTGCAATTTATCAACACCATCATCGGCATTGGCATCAGCAGCAGCACTATCACATACAAGCATGGAGGCACGTGGTTGCTGCTGTCGTGGTGGCAGCAGTGGTGCGGGCGGAGGAGGGAGGGAGGGCGAGGAGCAGGAGTTGCGAGATGAAGTGCGGATGCAGGAGGAGGAGATGAGCCTTCGCACAGGGTTCGGCACCAAGGTAGGTACTAAAGGACCAAGATTCCAAGTTACTTATTGATTCAGTGTCTACACCATTGTTGATTCATTGGGTTATTGAGTTACTAAGGGCTTCTGTTACTAAGGTCAAAGCCTGTTAAAGCCTTCCCAAAGGTATTGTATCTTTTCTTCCATCTCCATGCCATGCCAACACATCATTCTCTTTCTTCCCCTCCTTCCAACTCCATGCCATGCCAACCCATGCCACCTCTCGCCAACCCATGGCCATCTTTCCAGCTGGACGCGGTAACGCGGCGGGTGTTACGGTTACTGCGCAGCGACCCATCAGCGCGCATCATCATCTTCAGCGCGTGGAGGGAGGTGCTGCTGCTCGTGCAGCACTGCCTGCACGCCAACGCTGTCCCCACCGCCTGTGCCTTCTCCCACCGGTGCGCACCCCACCTTTCCATCCCGCTCTCTTGCCCTTCCCCTGCTTTCTAACCCCTCCCCACAATCCCCCCTCTTTCCCCCCCACACACTCTACTCTGCTCGCCACTCTAACCTTGTTCATTTCCTGCGCTTACAAGAGGCACATGAGTCTCCTCTTCTCTGCAGTTAATACTTCTGCACCTCGTTCGAGCCCTTGGTTTGTTCTTCCATCCTCGTTCAATCTCTTGGTGTGTTCTCCAGGGAAGTGCCTCCAGCATTGAAGCGCTTCAGAGAGGCCACTCCCGCAGCTGCCCTCTCCGCTCGCCCCATCCGCCCCTCCCATAAGCCCCGCACCAAGCGCCGCAAACGCTCCCTCACCTCTCCCCTGCCACCTGCCATCCCACTGGCCGCTGCTGCTACTGCCGCTGCCACAGGCAGGGCAGCGGGGGCAGTGAGCAGTGCGCAAGGGGGGGAGGGCAGCGGGAGGGAAGCAGGAGGGGCCGGGGGCAGGGGAGATGGGGAACAGTGTCGTGTGCTGCTGCTGGTTGTGGCGGTGGGGGGCAACGGGCTGAACGTGGTGGAGGCACAGCACGTGGTGTTTGTGGAGCCGGGGCTCAATGCGGCCGCCGAGGCGCAGGCTGCCAACCGCGTGCACCGCATCGGCCAGACCCGCCAGACCTTTGTGCACCGCTTTATTTTGAGTGGGTGATGTGCTGTCAGGCAGGTAGTGCATTGAGTTGTGAGTGGGTGCTGGTTTTCGCCCCTCCCTCCTTGTCTTTCCTTCCCCCCTTCCCTCCTTGTCGCCTCCCCTCTCTTTCACTGCCTGCAGGTGCACAGTACAGCGCAGGCGCCCATTCACGAGGTGGTGTTTGAGGCGACTCAAGAGTCAACTTGTTGTCGTTGCATGAATCCATTGCACTTCTCTCATCTCTGCATGAATCCTGCCTGCAGGTGCATGGCACGGTGGAGGAGCCCATTCACGCCCTCGCGCGCTCCACGGCCACTGCTGCAACTGCAGCAGAAGCACGGATGCAAGCTCATGACTTGTGTTTGAGTCAACTCCTTTGCTCTCTCTGCATGGATCATGCCTGCAGGTGCATGGCACTGTGGAGGAGCCCATTCACGCCCTCGCGCGTTCCAAGGCCGCTGCTGCCCCACTCGCCACCGCCCATGCTGCCACCAACCCTCGGTCTCACAGGGACCGCGACTCACTTACCCTCGCTGATATCACCGCGCTCTTTCCCCAGGCCTGTTCTGCTGGAGAAGGTAGGGGGGCGGAGGAACGGGTGGTGGCGGTGGGAGGTGAAGCAGAGGGGAGTGCGGACAGGGAGGGCCGTGAGAGGCACGGATGCAAAGACGGCCTGAGTGACAAGAATCGTGGTTCATGCAAGTACGCAGAGTTGACTTCTTCGTCTTCTGCTTCAAGCACAGCAAAGATTGAATTGTATGTACACCACACTGCGTGTACATTTCTTCCATCAGTTGAGATGTGGTGTGATGTACAGAATCACAACTATATCCGGGGTCTTCTATCCGGGGTATTCCGGTAATTGAAGCCAAGTTTAACCCCTTGAGCTAAGTTCTCCTGGATACCTGGTCAGGGAATACCCACTGCGTGGCGTCTGCTGGTCCTTTCATCTTTGTCTGGGTATAGATACTTGATCAGCCCTTGGTGCCTCGCTGTTTTACAGTACTGAAAGCTATGATGTTTCCATTCCAGCATTTCCCCCCCACTACACCCCGTTTGGTGATCATAGTGTACCGTAGTTCGAGGATTCCAACTGGTAACAAGTCTGGAAACTTTTCGTTACAATGAGGACACACAGAAACAATGAAAGAGGACTAAGAAACAAAGAGAACACATCTGCCGCACTAACTAGTGAAGTGGCGAGTAAAGCGAGTGATTGTCACCGAGAACAGGCCCCTAGATTCGTTTTGATCTAGTCTGAGGCCTCAGAGTACACCCCTCTTCCTAGTCTGGCTGTGAGAGTTGACCAAATTGAAAGTTCAGACTGTTGGGAACAAACAATCTTAAGCGCCTTTGTCATGTCGAAACACCAAGGCACAAGCGAAGCAGAGCATATCGAGGCACCAGCGAGTCAACCCTCGGAGGTTGATGTAACCGCTGGAGGTTACACGAAAGTCAAAGGTCAGTGACCTTTGACCTGACAAATGCAGCGCGACAGCAAGGACACACAACTGACTCGACATTGAGCAGTTGCCCGAGTCGCAGTGTATCGAACCGCAACAGCAACAGTAAAGTAGTTATAACTATGTCTCTTCATATTCTCTGTATTCATATATATAATCTTGTATCTCTTTGCTTGAAACAACTTACTTTGCCCTCACATACCAGTGCAAGGTGGTTCAAGGACTTCACTTAAACGCTTCCGCTACCACATCACTTTACTCAGACTTTAACCCTACCAAAGATCCTAAGGGGCACTCAGCCCTACATGGTATCAGAGCTGGTTAGGGTTAAAATTATTTCTCCTCAACACCTAATACACCAAGAGACATGTCTACCAGAAAGGAGAGGAGCTCCTCCAACGGCTCTCCTGGTACTACTCCTACTCCACCTCCTGCCTCTGGCCTACAGACAGAGGAAGGCACAACAACGAGACCGGCAGCTGGGTCTACTAAAACACCCGCAAACCAAGGCGCGCGCTTCGATCCAAGCATGATGGAGAAGTTCTTCTCCTTCATGTCCTTCTACGAGCAGCATTAGCAAGGAGCACCTGTGCAATCAAACAACAGCAACAACAACAACAACGTGACACCCATGAGTCTCGATGGCTCATCCTATGCACGCGGGAATCAACAACAGCAACCTACCTTCGCTCCGTACGAGCCTGAGCGCGACTCCGTCAGCTTCATGCCACAACCACAACCTGCACCGGGACAAGAGAGAATGTTGGACGCAGTACAAGTTCAGTCGCAGTTCGCGCACGTTCTAAAACTGCAAACGACAAAACCCTTCGACGGGAAGGATTTCTTTACCTGGTCATTCGAATTCGAGCTGATGATGGAAGGAGCGCAAATCCTTGGCTTCTTCGACGGGTCCCTGCCATACCCAACAAACGGCACACAGTATGAGAAGCAGCAGTACACCTATCAATCAATGATGGCATACACGATACTACTGAGGAACATCACTCCAACTCAACAACAAAACATACGGTCTTACCGAGGCTACGGCAACTCCGCGGAGCTCGTGTACAATCACTTGAAGAGCCTATATCAAGCAATAGACAGCGTAAACCAAAGTCGGTTAATGGCGCAGCTAACTACAATTGAAATGAAACCAGGCGAGAAGGGAATGGCGTATATCAGTCGCTGCCGCGAGCTGCGCGACAAGCTTCTTCGATGTGGAGGATCGATTTCAGAGGACGCCTTCGTCACGGTTGTCATCGGCGGTCTTGGTCCTCACTGGCGCTCCACTCGCGCCATACTACGAGCCCGCTGGAAAATCTCTGAAGCAGCACTTTGCGCCAAAATCCACGCCGAACAGCAAGACATGGACCTGCAAGAAGAACGACACAAGAGAAAGGTGTCAATGCCCGAATTCGCGTTTCACACTCAACGGCGCCACAACAACAACAACAATCGATCGAAAATCATACCTCCGTTCTGCCCCCTCTGCAAGACTTCAGGGCATCGTCGTACGCACTGCCCAAATCGACAACGCCAACTTCGCCCTTCAAGCAGTCAAGTCGCCTCAATGCACGCAAATCCGACAACTTCAGTACACGTCTCAACAACATCAACGGGACAACCTGCGAAAGGAACAAGAAACATCGTCAGCTGCATGGCAAGGCTGAGTGACTCCTGCGTAACTGAGTCACCACCATATTACTCACCAGAAGAACAACTCGACAACAGCACGCCTCGCCGCGAGTCACTTCAACCAAACCCGACGTACGCCGCCATCGCCCAAAGCGAGCCGTCCGGGAAGGATACATGGTTCTTGGACAGTTGCTGCGGACAACATATGTGCTCTTCAGGACGTTTCGTTCAACGCGAGCACCAACTTCAACGAGAAGTTGTCATCACTGTCGCCAATAATCAGAACCTGCGCACACGACGACAAGGAGTAGTGCAACTTCAGTCACGAGAGACGAATGTCATACTGCAAATGTCCTAAGTCCTAATAGCAGAAGGACTTGGCTACAACTTACTGAGCATCAGTCAGTTGATGGCGAAAGGCATACATCTGGAAGCCGACAGTACCACCCAGGAGTTCAAGCTGTACCACGGGAAGGGCGGCCTCTACATCAGAAAGGCGGTCCTGAAGAACAATGTCTTCGTTCTCGATTTCGTCCCAGACCTGGGCACCGCAGACAGTGACGGGATCGTCACCTTCACATCTTGGACGCACCCGCCGGATCTCGACCCCGACTTCAGTCCGGAAGGCTTCTTGTATTCACATACCATTCCTGAAGCAGAACAAACACGTGCGTTAGTAACAATACATCATCGGCAGCAGCAGTGACATCATCGGCAGCAGCAGAGACATCATCGGCAGCAGCAGTGACAACATCGGCAGCAGCAGAGACATCATCAGCAGTAGCAGGAACAACGACACCAGTCCTCGTCGACGAAGCACCACCAACACCTGCACAGCAGCTGAATCCGACTCAACGGGAATTCCATAGAAGCACAAACTTCACCGCCAGCTTCTACTCCAACTCCGACGCGTATCGACGCTCACCCGGACACCGCGCCTCCGAAGACATCTGGCACGCACGCATGGGACACCCAAGCAACACTGTGTTAAACAACACAATAAGAGCAGGAGTCCTTGACAAGGACTCATTACTACTACTCGACGGCAGAGAACTTCAACGGGCACGAGGAACATGTCTTACCTGCCCCGAAGCCGGCTTACCACATCGGCCGTTCACTCCTCATCACAACCCGAGCGCACCCGCGTACACACCACTCGAAAAGGTGTATAGCGACATCCTGTACAATCGGGAACCAGGACAAGTAATATACAACTACACAATCACCTTCATTGACGCCGCCACCCGTTACGTCTAGCATCTGAACCTACCCAGCCGCGACATGGTCCTTGAAGCATTCGCTGCTTGGCTACTAGTAGCAGAAAGAGAGTCGGGCGTAAAGCTGAAAAGCTTCCAGTCCGACGGAGGAGGAGAATACACCTCTCAGCGATTCAAGCAATACCTGGCGGAAAGGGGGATCAAGCAGCTCCTCTCTCTTCCCTACGCCCATCAGCAGCAAGGTGTGGCAGAAAGAATGAACAGGATTCTGCAGAACAGCATGCGCAAACTGTTACGTGGCATGCGGCTATCCAACCACCAGTGGCCTGCAGCAATAGACCACGCCGTCATGCTGCACAACTTGATGTCGTCATCATCGCTTCCGAACAACGCATCACCGCATCTGCTATGGACAGGAAAACAGGGCAGCACAAAAATGTTACGAGTTTTCGGATGCATGGTACAGTACCGGCCCCCAGCAGCACGAGCGGGCCGTTTTTCACAACGCGCACAGTGAGGACTACACCTCGGCATCGAAAAGAACTACAACGCGTGTAAAAACTTTGACGTCCACTCAAAGGAAACAGTAGCAGCACGCGACGTCATTTTCTACGAACGACTTATGCTCCAGACATACCTTGCCAACCTGCAAGAGAACCAAGATCCCACAGGTGGCTTTCGTGGTGATCGAGCCTTCACCTCGATAGCAGACGAAGCTGACTGGGACGAGCAGAATGTAGCCAACGCATCAGAAGAAGCTGGACCCCTTCCGTTCTACTCCGTCGACGTCCCCTTGGACGGAGATAACCCTCGCGAAAGTCCCAACGCCGAAACCTTCTACTACTTCGCCGACAACGGTTACGTAACAGCTACGACAGTCAACACCAACGAAGCAGAACGAATAGGACCGAATTTCATACCCGATCCAGAAGCGGGAGATGAAGCAGCTTATCCCGAGGACGCAACTCTTCCGCGCTACTCACAGTCTGGACTGCAGATTCTCGGACTCGTCACTGCAGTCCACGGCAACACTCTCCCAATGGTGTCAAACATTATATATGTTGTTGTACTTGTTTAGGCTACAGTGGGTTAGCCTATAGGGGGTACTAAATTCTAGGGTTAGGTACTTGTACTGATTTCACTGTTAGTTCATCATTCCTGTTTCGTTATTTCAACATGGTATAGAGCAGGTCCTTCCTAGTACCGATTTTTTTTAGGGCCCACCACTACCTACCTACCTACCTACCTGCGCCCTAGGGCGCCTCGGTTTTCACGGCCCTCTAAGGCCCCGTCGGCCCGCCCCTAGAGGCCCCGAACGGCCCACGCGCTCGCCCCTAGTGGCCCCTTTCAGCCCCGCGATCGCCCCTAACGGCCCCGTCGGCCCCTCGCTTACCTCCCTAGAGGCCCCGTCGGCCCCGTGCTCACCTCCCTAGAGGCCCCGAACGGCCCCGTCGGCCCCGCGCTCACCTCCCTAGAGGTCCCTTACGGCCCCGTCGGCCCCGCACTCACCTCCCTAGAGGCCCCGAACGGCCCCGTCGGCCCCCTAGAGGCCCCTTTACGGCCCCGCGCTCACCTCCCTAGCGGCCCCGAACGGCCCCGTCGGCCCCTAGAGGCCCCGTTAAGGCCCCACGCTCACCTCTCTAAAGGCCCC